GAGCCCTTTCTAGGTTCTTTCCCCTATCCCAATTTCTTTCAAACATCGTAGGCATAGTCACTACCATCCCATCAAGGTCACTGTTGAGGCCTTTCTTTCGCCCTACCTGTCGCCAATATTACAGAAGCTAAAGACTTCGTACAAATTGCTCTGGATAGTCCGAGAGAAGCTCTTTCGTTCGACACGTAGAAACACGGCGTCATTGCACGCACATCGTTGTTACACGATTGCATTTCTAGTTCGTGTTTCTGAATGTTCTTACCGCACACCAGTGGTCGACGGGGGCATTGATGAAGACCGATATCATTGTGCCCCATGAAACGGTGAACTTAAATATCAACGAGATCCAGTAGACACGGCGTTGAAACGGCCCAAACTCACCAACATTCTTTAAAATGTCGTCAAAATTCATATTTGTTAAAACACCAAGCACAAGAACGGTGAAGAACGTTTAATTTTACGAAAGCTTAAGTAGAAGAATATTTCCCTCTCTAAGTGAATGTCAGTACGTTTTATAGCTAGTAGTTGAACTTTTTTCGATCTATTCTTCTCTTATTTACTTTACTATTCTTATCTCCCTATCTTCTTATCTCACACAGTGTTGAATCCCTCCCCCCCCCCCCTCCCACTCAGTGTTATTTAGGGTACGCGTATGCTCGTTCCCTCTTTTTGAAAGCACCCCCTATCTGAGGACTGCCAACATTTCCGAACCCCCCTTTCGCGGGCTTTTCGCGTGCTTTTCCCGCCTTGGAGACCCCCCCCCCCCCCTAAATACGGAAAAATGTTCAATGTACCCCCTTAAATTCGGAATAATTTCTCAGGAGTCCAAAGAAATGAGAGGGGAAAAAAAAGAAAAACACCCCCTTTTTAAAGAAATCTCCGGGTGAAAAGTCAAATACACCCTTTTTTTTTTACAATTCTCGGGCCGGACTTTGTCGCAGGAAAAATACCTCTTTACCGGACATTTTGGTAACACGCATGCGGTCATTCCGACCCCGGAGTGGGGGGGGGGGGGACGGGTGTTGAATATGTAATTCCTTAGGTTTCGACCTCAAACATATCAGAAGTTCTGAATGATGTAAGGATGCATCTTTTCTCTCAATCAGAAGCTGATATTTAGATATTCATTTATTTATTGTGGGTGTGTGTGTGTGTGTGTGTTTTAATATATGTGGAATGATTAAATTTGTTAGGGATATTATGTGGATCTGCAAAGACCGAATTAATACCCAAATCTCAATTGTTTTTATTCAAACATCACATAGGCATCACTTTGGCGCAAGTCGATTTTTGCACTCTGTTAAACAATGTTTCCTGTTCATCCAAGCGTGATCACATACCAACACAAAATGATACCAAATGATTTGGGATAAAACATTCTTTCATAAGAAAATAATTAACTGTTCATGAATGATTTTTAAAATAGTTAGCAATTTCCTAGGTGTAATTTTTTTTTTTAACTCACACTTTATTAAACATGTACAAGTAGAAACCATACTGGAAGATTTTGCAGCCTTAACCTTAATTCGAAATTTTGACCACGATCTAGTATTCTGATCAAAAATTCAATTTAAATACATGTGTAGGGTATGGTCTCAGCAACAACATAATAAAACATGGGAGACAGCAGAGAAGAGATAGATTAGATAAAGTTCTGAAAAGGTCTGAAACGTGTTATAAATTGGTCCAAGATGCATTTTGACCAATTGTAAATGTTGACGCACGCCTACGCGTCCGCCATGACGCGCACACGGAAATGGTTGGGACCACAAATTTACCCATGACGTCAAGTTTATATATATATATATATACCATATATAATTCAGAAATGGCAATTTAGGAGGGAAATGTCGTCAATACAAGCAATTAACAAATCGGCGCCTAAATAACGTAACGCATCAGTAATCAAAATAATATATTCGTTAGAATCAATAATCATGCATAATAATAATAATAATAAAACGCAGTTCCTTTATTGCGCATAATACAGGATAGCATGTCCCTTTCCATACGGCACATGTCATGAAAATGTCATTGTTATGAAATATGTCATTCATGAGATATGAAGCGAACAATATCCATATAGAAAGACAGGAAAAAAGGGGGGGGGGGATAAAATAAAAAGATGCTCTACTACACTTCGCGGTAGACCACCTAGTCAAAGTTCCCTTTACATTAATTATTATACCTTGTGTTGAAAGATGATAACAGAGACATACTTCCGAATAACCCTGGCCGAGCCGGCGTACTCCCCACCTATGTGTCCACATTTATAGGCCCCTAAATTTAAATTCCAAAAAAGAATAAGAAACACTCACCCCTTTGAAAGTAAAGTAGCAGGGAGTGCATCACAAATTTATCAAAGCAAAACAAGAAAGAAGAAAGAAACCCCTCAAAATAAGTTTTGAAACTCTGGTTGGATCGATGATACCTCTCTCATTATGGCAGAACCATCGCTTTGATGATTTATTTCCATCTATGCTAGAGGTTTGGAAACGTATATATAACACACTACAGATAGATATTAGGACTTTGTGAAAAGTGACTTTCATATATTTTATATGTTCCCCTTGCTAACAAAAATACAAATTACTCTGGCCCCATCAGGGATTCACTCTTGATAATAATATTTTGCGTCATCATACATAATGCCTAATTCAATTCTGTATTAAAACGAAACGAAGGTTAAGATTTATATTATGTATAGTGTGTATTTAATTTACCTGTTTAAACGCCTTTTTTTGTCTTCTTTGAACGCGAAACATAGAAATGTTAAATTTGCGAGCTCTCTCTCTATCTCTCTCTCTCTCACATAACCACCCGTTTTCCTACGAACTTTATGGCACATAACGCCATCCCACTATCACACCCACGATCTCTTTGCCCGAACATCGTTAACAAATGGGCCTATCCTGATCGGACATTTTATCATATAAATCTTTCTGTACTTGATGTTCAAGCTGAGAAGAAAACGTTTTAATTCCTTGACAACAGATATTTCCCCCTTTTACAAATATATACAAGCACATAAAATGCTTGAATGATATAAAATATTCAATCATGAATAACTCACATATATAAAAATCAATCATGTACCAGATTCCACACAAAGTGATATAAATATTGTTACACAAAATGTATTTAAGAAACACCCGCAAACGTATTTATTGAGAGCAACCATTTTGTTGTTGAATAATGAATATCATTTAAATAATTAAATATAATAATAATAATAATAATAATAATGATGATGATATTGACTTATTAAAGGTAGCTTTGTCGGTATTCATACCATTCTCCCTGAGGGCCCTGTAATCATTTCATAATACCCTGAAAAGCTACCATCAAAAGGTGCTCAAGCGTTCAAGGAATTTCTTTACAGGGTAATGCAATGTGCAGGGAAATGTGTGATCTTCTCGACCTCTTGATTTGGATGATGGACAACCAATGCAACGAGTTATAATGATGACTAACATCCGCAACGAAATACAGCCTTCTCTTTTTCAAATTATTGTTGTTCATTTAAGTATCCCTATCGTTTTGTTTGTTGTAATTTTTGGTAATGTGCCCCTCAAAATCGATATAAAATAAACTTCATGACAGCTGCCGACATCATCTAGATTTATATCATTATCAACTTGGTTTGATCCATCAACTATTACTGCCCTCTTGGCGTTCGATATGGAACCATTGAAGGTTTAAACATGCAAGAATTTTAACTTGTAAAAGTGTACATATTGTCATCATTTCTCGTCTACCATGCTGAATGCTGGGTTGTCGTGAACGGTTTCAGATGTGGTTTCGCCCTTCTCTCCATCACTTAAATGAATAGACACAAGAAATGATACGGGTTTACGTTGAAAATAAGCGTACTTCAATAGAGGAATAATAACGACTGAAGTCAATCCAGTCACAGGTTTTTTTGTTTCATATGTTACATCGTAAATCCAAATAAAGTACGAGATGTTTAAATATAATTTTTTTAGAAACAGTTCTTTTTTTGTTTATAGTCAGTAGACGTTCAACCCTATGGGGAAGCTTTCCACTGCAGTCCTGTAAGCTTATTCAGAAGTATGTCGTAGCTTGCGCTGTTGCTGATGCATGACATAGTATATATGTTTACACATTTGCATTTTATGATTTCGTTGGTATGAAACAATATCTTTGACACCAATGAATACATTAATATTATCGAGGACGTAAGCAGTCGAAAATCAATCTAACAGTTTAGGCAGTGTATAGAAATAACTGCAACATTATACCAAGCATGGAGGAATTTGCTTTGGCTTAGACTAAAGACTCCTTTTTTCTGAGCAGAGAGGGACTTTAAGATTTGTTTTCACTCATTAATCTGTATTATTATCCAATTTGCAAATGTTATATATAGCATTTTAATGTGTTTGTAAAATAAGGGATATAATTTACTTCAAACCAAACTGTTCTCCTTCTTCCAGCGTCTCTGGGAGTTTCTTGCCTCGAGTCTCGGGCAATGCAAGAGCAGACAGTGAAGCGATGACGGATAGCGAACCGTAGATAACAAGAGGAAGTGGATCCCAATATTTTGCGAGGATGAGGACAAGAGGTGCTGATATGGTCGCTATCCGGGAAAACATAGAGCAGTTGCCCATGGCAACGCCCCTTTATAGGAGAAATGATTAAACACAAACGACGATAGAGATACATGAATAAAACATGATACATTTTTTCTACAATTCGGATGGTCAATTGAAATGATCAATTTGACAGGAATTTCAACAATTCAAACTTCATGCAATAATTTTTTTTTATATATTTATAGTCCATCCTTTTTGGATGTTCGTCTAAAATTATGTCTGTATTTCAGTCATAGGCATGAAGCATTGCTATCCAGTAATTTTGGTTCAATACATGATTTAATTAAATACAGTACAGTTGAAACTATATGTGATGAACACCATCTATAATAAATAATCTGCATATTACTCGTAAACTGAGGTATATTCTAAACCTTTGATTCTTGGTTACCTTATATTTGTTGGATAAAGCTCCACGGTGTAGAGATATATGATTGCAAACGAGCCTGCGATCCCGAACTTCCCTATCATAGAAACAGTTGTCAGGGCAACGCCGGTGGCTACAATGATATTCAGACAGTACTATCATGGTAAGAGTAGGTTATGAAAACATGAAATCATCGGAAGCAGATATAATATTAATTTCTTACATAACGTTTCGTGTATACAGAACTATTAAAGGTTTATATAATTAAGCAAGGTGAATTTAGGGCCCCGCATTATAATGAGTTGCAAGCGCATGAATCTAAGTTAAATGCAACCATACAATTGTCTATCTGTCGTAAACATTATTTAACATGTTAAGTGCTACCTTTATTTGTTCTAGGACCCGTCTCATAAAGAGATGAGATTAATATCAAAAGAGATACAAAATGATGATGAACTTTCTACCCCAACGTACCGTTTATTGCATAATGCACAGCGCCATCTTATGGTCAACTTGCCGTCAGTGCTTGCTCCAATGAATTAAAGTAGTTTTAAACGGTTATATAATTTTGGCTTAATTCGTGTTTGGGCAATGGCTCTTGAAAAGCATTTTGTCATATTTATTGTATTTATATCATTGTGGGTTTGCACTACCTGATTAGCACGAATATTTTTTTTCTCAGGGGTCCACATGTAGTTTAATGGCCTATTGAAGAACAAAAAAGCAACTTACGTATAAATGCAGTTGACAAGCAAGCTACCCCACCTAGCATCAAACAGAAGAAAAGACTCAACCTCCGGCCAAAGAACTCTACGATGAAAATATCCATGATGTAGGCCGGGATCTCGATACCACCCGTAATAGCAAAAGCGACGTAATCATTGGTGCCGAGATTTGAGCTATTCAAAGACAGGCCATGATACACCATGGAGTTCACCATCCTAACAAAGAGGAGACAATGAAAGACAGAGAATGGGATGGAAGATGAGAGAGGGGAGAGGGTGAGAGAGGTATCACGAAGTACATATCTTTTAAAAAATCAATGTCCGCATTCTTGGACAATTTAAATCCTATATTAGGTAAACGAATAATAATGATAATAATAATGATAATAATTATATAATTGTGATGATAATAATACTAATGATCATGATAATTTAATAATACTTGACATTTATATTGCGGATCTTAACGGCACTTTATTGTTTGTTTTTTCTGCTTTTATCATGTTTATGTAAGCTTGGTATTGTTAGTTTAACCAGGAAGGTGAAAGAAAGGAGTCGAAATTCTTGTGATTTATTCAAACGTATTCATGAGTTCTAAAGCGTAACAATGGGATTTGTAACATTCCACTTGGCTTTGAAGTTCCATGCTCCGAGCCGCGCTTCCACTGCGGGGATTTTCGGAGGCCAGGCATGAGTTTCACATTTATTACAAAATATTAAATTACCGGCAAAATTTCAGTGTAAATTATAAACTTTATATTAGGATTGTATTGATAAAGTGCATCAAACAATTTTTTATATTTAGGACTCCGCCCTTCCTATAATTTGTGTGCCAGAGTTGGTAAAAGAAAATCCTGAAAAGAAAAAAAATATTTTAGGATAATGCGCTAATTTGAGCATGTTTTAACTCATAGCATGCCATGAGACTGCATGCACGCTACTGTTATAGTGCTTTGTACATGCAAGCTAACCATAGATACACTGCCATGTGTGTGCAAGGGCGCATTCGTAATAGCAGTTATTGTTCATGCTTATTGGACTGTGCTGTGTGTTTCGCACGCGCTATTCATAGAACCATCGCGTTAATCAGATTATCTTCAAAACAACCTGGCACTGGGGGATTTGGGGCTTGGCACAATGGGGATTAGCCCTGTGACATGATAAGAGAATGTCACGATATGTAATATCCATGATTTACAATTTTCGATAACTTTAAGTTTGATAATGCGTGATTTCGCGTGTTTTTTGTATTTTTGCAGTTGGAAAAAAGGATGATATTACACAAGTTTGTGTTCGCTTGTTCTATTCTACTATTTACACATTCAACAATGGATGAGAAACCATTGAAAGGGACAGCGAAGAGTTGCTGTGATACCATTTCCATGCCCTCTTTTATCTCACCACCTGGTCAACAGTTGCAGATTAGCGCATAACTTTTCGGCGGCTTGGAGCATGGGGTCAAAGGAGATCGGCTTGATAGCAGTCCTTCTCTATCACGTCCCTGGTTTAACGTTAACGAAATGATTCAGGTATGGTGCCGTTAACCGCCGCAAAAAAAAACAGCCGCCTTTAAAAAAAACGTATAATGAATGTCGAGTGTTCGCAACTATTAAAGAACTTTCGCGAATTCACACTGAGCTCTACGTTATGATATATCCACAGAATTGTAAAACGTAGTACACTTGATGTCATCATCATAATAAGGAATATTAAAACATACCACCGCGGTTTGCCGCGTCATATTTGAACGATCCTTGAGAGTCATTAGGCCTACCATATAAAGACAAGGTTGATGGTTCGCATTCTCATCCTGGGTGTGCGGATCAAATCGAGACCTGTGGGCCTATGTTCCTTGCGGATTCGTTCCTGGTGAGAAAGATAAGAACAAATACCCGGGAAAAAAAGATGACAGGAGAGAAATGGAATGAGGAGTGGGTAGAAAATAAAGAGGTAGGGAGTTTATGACATGATCTATTAAACGAAACATTTGCAAAAAAGCATTTCATGTGGGTCCATCTCAAGTTATCAATTAGAAAACAAAAAACATGATATGACAATTTGACCAGAATCCCGTTCGACATAATATGCAGCGTTAAAGATATATTGAAATGACCAACTGTCATTATACAGCCCTTCGAAATAGATATACTTTTCATTCGCAAATTGTTAAATCTTCCTTGAAATAACCTCAGGTTTTACTGTTCCTACTTTTACGCTATTATTTTCCATTTTCCATTTTCGATTCATTCGGTTCGACTTGCATAATTATAATTGAAAATGTTCAAAAGTGTTAAATGTGAAAAATGTTAAGCGGTCACAAATGTCAATGTGCTTGTCATGTTCGATGTGGTATCATCGACCGAATAGAACAATTGAAAAATTGATAATGGCAAATATTTTAGTTATTAAAGGGCTTTATTTTTGTTTACCTGCTCTACCATGAATTCTTTGGTAAACAGGGGCTTCTGCAGTCCGGCCTTGTTAACTTCGGCTACCTTTGTAATAACTTTTTCGGCCTTGTCGTATTTCCCAACGGAGATAAGCCATCTTGCAGACTCAGGTAGCCAGCTTCAAGAGTTGATGATACGTTGAGAAAAAGGATATTTTGAGGAAATAGAGATCTGATGTGAGTTTAATTTCCAGCAATTTTGTTGCAAAATTCAGGCAGAGGAAAGAGTATTTAACTTCAAAACCTGTTCCGTTTAATTGTTTTATTTTTTTTGCTATGTCATTTTCGTTTTTTTTTTTTTTTTTTTTTTTTTTTGTTGTTGTTGTTGTTGTTGTTTGTTTGTTTGTTTTTTTTTTTTTTTTTGGGGGGGGGTTTCCCTATGCTACAGGTAATTATGATATCGTTTTATCAACAATAAATTCAAAGAATAGTTCATCAGAATTAAATCTGTATATATATATATATATATGTTTTTAGCAACCACAATGTATGACAGTTCCAATAATAATACGAGAAACAAAATATCATTTCTTTTGTAAAAGATTATATTGACAAAACATTTCAATCAGTGGTGAATTTAAAAATAAATATATGGAGAAACGGGAAACGAGTTGCACTTCATTGTAGAGGAAGCAAAATGTACATTTGCAGCCCGGCGTACTATACAATTGATGTTGTGTATTCATTTATTTCTTTATTTATCTATTTGTATTTTTCAAGGGAACCCTGTTGTAAATATATTTTATATATCTTTAAAAAATGTTGTCTTGGCCATTATAAACTAAGTATCAACAATGCTAATACTTTATCGATACACCCAGCAATGTAAGAAGAAGGTACAAAACAAAATTGGTTCTTACATAAAAAATATGAATAGAAACAGGAGAGGCAATGTCATGGTTAGCGTTAGAAGCCGCCAGGAACGAATGTAATAGGCCGGTAGAGCGAGAAACATGTAGCCGACAGCGTAGCTGATTGAGATAAGAATCACCAAGGATCGTTTTGATGGCCCAATATACTCCGTCCCTGTTGGACCCAAAGTAAAAGGAACATGACATGAATATATCGATAAATGTCCTCTTATTGACCTTATGCTCAATGTTTATGCTTATATTTATGATTTATTGACTCAATTACTCACATTGTGAGTAAATAACATGAATGAAGATACAATTTAAAATTCAAGGCGACGATAGCAAAAATTGGTCGATAACGGAAATCTTTTAATAAAGGAATGAATCACATAGAAGATAAATGATAGCAGTGCCTGCTGTACAGCTCGCTCACAGGTCAGCCAAAATGAAAAACAAGGTCAAATAATGAAATGAAAAAAGAAATAGACTGTTATTTTGTTTGCCAGTGAGTAATATCAACATATTCTAATTGCAAAGTCGTTGATATTCGCCGGGAGTTATACAAATGTGGTTCAAATACTTTGACCTAAGGGAAAAGGGGAGACAACATGAGTGAGAGAAAGAGAGAGAGAGAGAGAGACGGGGCGAGAAAGAGAGGTGGGGTCCCAATGCGTGTTCAATTGGGTTTTCAAAGACGTGTATATTATTAGTCAGATAGTGGATCATCACTCGAAATACATGCCTATATAGAAAACACGTAAAGCCCTGATAATCTTTTCTCGTGCTTTTTCTACTATATTTATCGTTTCATTGCATATTTTTTGTAATATTATTATTCATTGTATTATGTTTTGCATGAGAAATACAAAATATATTCAAAAAATCGTTTGAATTAATAATGCACACGGCATGTGACCTAAAGTGGTGTGGCAATATGCTCACCTATAACAAACAAAGTGATGTTGAAAGAAATGCTTCCAGAACCCATGAAGAAACGCATAGTGGCAAAGAACCACCAGTTGGGTGAAAAGACAATCGCAACTCCAGAAACAAGCGATACGAGGTTAGCGAGCAGGAGAGTCCACCAGCGTCCTATTCTGCAGCGAATGAAAAACCACGACATAAGCATTGCATGTAAGTATTGGTGTGTACTGCAAGGTGCTTGAGTCATTAAAATCATACAAAAATTGGCCCAGTCTTGGTAAAGTAACAAGCACTGTACACAGAAAGATGTATATGGGACTACACAAATGGTGTCTGGGCTACTTACCTTGATTTCCATATCTTTCTATGCTCATTACTCAGCCAGCATACATTTTATACCAAAATTGTCTGGCACATGATATTTATTTGCTATCTTGAACATTCAGTGTAAGTTTCGTTTGATTATGTGAGATTTCATTTTTTTTTTTTTTTTACCAGAACTCAAGTTTATCTTTAACCTTTCTCCACCCACGTGTTAACGGATATATGACAATCGTTTGGGTAATTATAATTGAGGGTCCATCAGGAAGAAGAGCATTGGAGCTGATGATGCTTCCCTTGGTAGATGGACTTTTTTTCTATCAAAACTTTGTCATGTAAGATGATTACTTACACGTCAGAGAGGATACCAAAGAAGATAGATCCTGCTAAGAATCCCCCGTAGTATATAGATTGATATACTTAGGTTAGTTCACCATTGCCACATACAAGATCAAACTGTACGGCACAGAGAGAGAAGAGTGAGAAAGATAGAGAGAGAGAGAGAGTGAAGAGAAACAAAGAAAACGAACGAAAACAAGCAGACAGATAGGTAGAGGGGCATAGAAGGTCAGATAGGTAAATAGATTGGTAGATGTATTTATATAACACCATAAACAATAACAATGAGTATAATAATAATGATACAAATAAAAATGGTAATGATAAAAGCAACTGCAATAACAATATTGTAATGTAATAATTATACCTCTAATGACATTATATACAGGAATGCTTAGATAGGTAAACTAAGATACCAACGCGTATGTGCGCTTTGTGCGTGTTGTGGGAGAGAACAAATAAGCAAGGTTAGACAATGGTCTAGTCTCGGAAAACACTTCTATTCCAACAATATATATACATACTTTTATCGGATCTTTATATGGTTAACACCTTGCAGGGATATTTGCGTACCCAGTTGGTTTAAGGACGAAATCCTGTAATCTATTAAAGCAAATACTCATGACTTGTCTGACCGAAACACACATAATGGACTTTGTGATGGCATGTTAGCATTGTGCTAAAGAAGTTATCCAGTAAATTATACTACTACCATTACTTTGTAATGAATGAAATTTATGCACACTGATGAACTAAAACATATCATTACGTAATTGCAATTTAAAACAAACTATTGTTATTCTTCATTCATCGATTCGTACCTTTTGCAAAATCCGATTATTACAAAAAAATATTTTATGTAAGAACTGCCAACGATTGGAACGTGCATGCAATGTAATAAATAGTGCAACTTTCTATGCTTATAAAACCTAACTAAAGATCCATCTCTATAATATATAACAAGATATTGATATAAAATAATATTATTATTTGTCTTTCATAAGATATTCATATAGTCAGTTTTCCATTCGTAAACTCATAATCTGTTTGAAATAATAATACCTAATAATGACACCTTCGTACAATTTAATACTCAAATCTCTGATAATTTTTTTTAATGATTTGCTGGCACCAGCTTAAAGTTTGCATGCTATAACATTCTATTGTGTGTTTTTACTATTTTACCCATGTATTTCTTTGTTTTTATCTTGGTTGTATGATCATCTATCTCGTTATATTCGATTACTATTGGCCTATCATTTAATTGGGTCACAGCCCTGTATGGGGTTTTCAAACCTTTTTGCTGCATCCCAAGACATGTTTTGTTTTTACTGAATGTCTGAATAAATACAATACAATACAACCAATATAACTGAAATTAAACATACTTCTGTATTGCACGAATAAGCAGAGAACTGTCACCTGGAGATTATTGTAACATACGGGAGTGTATTCATTTATTGTTCAATTTGATTAATATATTCAAATATTGATGAAAGATGTGAACGGGGGAGGAATTATGTATAATGTAAGATCTTACTTCCGTCACTGTCGTCGTCTTGTATTGGCTGTCATCGTACACCCATCCGCTGTCACATGACATCGTTTCGCTGCTGTAATTGGATGGATCAATCCCAGGCCAGAATCCCACTCCGGACACGTTATATTTTTCACATTGTGCGTACTCCAGGTCACCATCTGACGTGTAGTTTGATGGGATGCTACCTTCCTTCTGGGCGTGTGCGCAGGCTTCCTCTGACAACCCATACTGCTCACATCCAGGAGTCCATTCGGGGGTCTAGATAATATACATATTTTGTCAAAGAACATCTTTGTATATTTATCAAATATATATTTTGTTTAGCCTAAAAATTATCCAAATCGTATTTGAAAAAATGCATCCTGCTTGTGAATGACTTTTCCTTATGTGTTATAATAATTGTTAAATTAATACCATAATTGCAGGGATGTGCCATAAACATACCTTTAGATGTATGTTTTGTGATATTATGTATTCACTTGGTTGGATGTCATTTGGTTAATTATATTTGTATTATTGTCGCCTTAAATCTTAATTTTCTTTATGTTCTTTACACATTTGGTTAATTTCCCTACCGCAACACCCGCTCTAAAAACAGGCCTTTACATATTATTTTTCTTTTAATGGATCGAATGTTTGTTTCAGAACCAATCAATCCATTTCGCCTAGTTTTGTTTCTACACCCGGTATATTCAGTCGGCACAAAGTCTTAATAATCATCGAATCATCATTAAAGATAAAGTTGAGTTCTGGTCATGCAATTGCATTCTGAAAGAAACGTTATGAAATCGATCAGAAAAGGTTGATCATCTATCATATAGGTAATGGTGTGTACTGCAAGGTTCTTGAATCATCAAAATGATAAGAAATTTGGCCAGGTCTTGAAAAAGTTACAAGCAATGTACACAGAAAGATGTATATGGGACTACACGAACACGTGGCATAAAAATCCGTCCCGGTTTTTTGATGTTACATTCCACATTTAGAATATTAAGGCATTTGAAGAGCCAGGCTTTACAGTGAACATTTTGTATCTGATATTCTTCCACACTTGTATAATACAATGATACCGCTCACAATTTGTGTTCACCTCTTCCAAGAACTTAACCTTCGCTGTCTGATAATCTATAATGATTGCCGGCAAATAGTTATGACCTTTGAACCAATAAGTACAATTGGTGTCTGACCGTTTGGCCATGATACGTTTTGGCTAGCATTACATGGTTTACACCTGCGTTTAATGCTTAATCAGCTCTGGCATTATTTCGTTCATATTCCAGTTTACTTTCATTTCGCCTATACATAATTGTTTTTATCTAGTATTCACATATATAATGGAACAAATCGAAGTACTAACAGAAACGAACGTTAGAGGAAACAGTATTTTTACAAAAAATAATGACCGTTACGCTAATCGGTCGGTAGATGAAACAATTATTCTGTTATTGGATCAAATGATGAGTATTTCTTTTCAGTTCTGACAGTTAGTGTAATGACTAGAGGGGGGGGGGGGATAAGAGACGAATTTCGCCGGGTTGGGAAGAAATAGTTGACCGTCGGTTTTATCCAGAGAACCAATAGTGAAGTGTAATTTCTAAATAGGCAAAACTGATGACAAACTATTGAATTCAAACAAGTCTTTTTTTCTATATTACAGAAAATTACCTTACATTTTTGTTTGGCCACTAGTTATAGCATTCGGCTCTGATGTTCACAATTCGATAGCAATTACAATACTATGAATACATACAATTTACAGTTAGCAACTAAATTATTCATACCCTTTAAATACCAAGTTTTGTAATTTTTTAAGTATATCAAAAGTTGATTTGTCTGGATTTATGTTTCTTGACGAGGTGACGTAGTAAACCTTACATCTGAAAGAATTCAACAAGGGCCTGAATTCAGCCAGTCTACTTT